GACATATTCGTCACACAATAATGTTATGTAGCTTTTCTTAATAGGTGCAATACATTGGAGTTTTACCGCCTCAATACTCACCTTATTCCATCTTTTCGATAGATTCCGGTAAAGATTCTTCATCGTGGTGCCCTCTTCTAAACCAATTACATGATGCTCACCTTCGTACGAACAGATAATTAATAATTTCATACTACATTAATCCATGTCCATCGGAACCTAACGATCCAACCAATGGATATATGAACTATATTAGGTCGTATGGGCGACTCAACAATCTTACTCAGAATACACTAAAATCATATGTTCTTACGGAATTCTAGTAATGTCTTGATCCTCAATAGCAACAAATTACCCATTTCACAAGATAAATATTACCCCTAAACTCTAAATAGCAACAGAATTTATTATCAAAATCACCCAAAACAATACCCAACATTTTCTTCCAAATAAAAATTTCTCAACTAATCCAATAGATATCGATACAAAAACACACCTGGTAAATCTAATTTCACTGGAGAACAAGGAAGATCGGCCACTGCGGAGGACGATCCAAGGACGGCGACCGTGGACCCAGGCCAACAAGAGAGCAGTTTCGACTTGGAGATTACCGGTGATAGCCTTCGGGAGTTCTTCGACCGAATCAACCGACCGCCGACAACAGGTAACCGGAGCCGAAGAGTGCCCTAGAGAGTTTTCCAATCGCACCGGACAAAAACCGGGCGATGTAAAATTGGGCGGACAGTGAAAGGATGGGAGAGAAGTGAACCTTCCACACTGCTGGAACCTGGATGACCTGCGCGGAATGTGGCTTTCGAGCTCACGAAAAAGGACAACGGATTGAGGAGGATTTTTGCACGAAGAGAAACAAAACGTAGAAAAAGACAAACAGGGAGGAAGAAGAACGAAGAATGGAAAAGGAGTGAGTGCAGACAAATCTAATACAATTAGGGACTGAATCCCAAATCAATATGAGGGGAGGGATTTATCCCAAAATACAAATGTTATTACTTTTATATTATACAATACTAATAAATTTTTTTTTTTTTTTACTACAATCCAATATAATACTAATATTAAAAAATTTACGTGTAAAAACTAAACGGTAACATTTCTACGGGACGGAGAGAAGAGAGTATTACATTTATAAATTTTTGTTGCGCAATAAAAAAATTTTATGCTTATATTTAATTTAAACTTTATCATTATCTAAAATTTAATTTCTATATTATATTATAATTTAATAAGAATGAATTTTCACATTCACACTTTTTTGTTTTCTTAATTAAATACTAATTTATTACCTCATCACAATTTTTTTATACAGTAATTTATTTTTTTTTTATTTCAATAAATTTAAATTTTTATTTAAATAATATTTTTATGTGATGTTTTATTTTAATTTTATATTTTTCAATAATATTGATTATGAAGCATGTAAAAACTGGGTGAATACAAATTATAGATAATTAAAAAGAAAATTTATATTAAAAATATAAATAAATAAATAAACACGTATTCTGTATAGGAAGTGTGTTTATTTTGTAAGATTTGTTTTTTGACATGAGGTATAGAGAATTGTATAAAAAATATAAAAATAATAAATATATATAGTGTATTATTTTTTTAAAAAAAATATGTAAGAAAATAATAGAAAGAACAAAGTCTACAATGTTCTCACTTATCTCTATATATAAATGAATGGTTCTTATGAAATATTTGTATAATTTTTTTTATCTTGAAATTGGAAAGTCTGAAATATATTAGGTCAAATTGAGTCGTAACTAGTAATTGTAAGAAATTTAAACCTGCAATTATTTTGAATTAGAGTTCTTTAAATATAAATACAAATTGTAAACAATATATCTTAAGAAATACATATATATACACACATATATAAAGACATATGTTAGAGCCTACAAAAATATATATGAAAAAAAATGAAAGAGCATATTCACGCTTGGGAGCAATTACGAAAATAAAACGAATCTCTTAATAGTAATATAAAATATCATAATTAACAAAAAAAAAATAAAAATTGAAAGTAGAAAAATTATTTATAAAAATGACTATGGCCATACTATCAATCTATCACTATACACACAAGCCCAACTTACGAAATATATTTTGAACATTCAACTGATATAACTATGTCTTTTATACTATATAACATTAAAAGGAAAAAAAAAAAAAAACACAGTTACACTTCTATAGAATTCTTACCTGAGATTCAATTGTATTGAGTACAAAAATTTAAATTTCATTCCGGCAATATGTTTACTTAAAAAGGCAAATGTATTTAGTAAAAATATCGGCGACAATAAAGTAATATAGAAAAACCTTATAAATATCAAACTATTGATGTATTTGAGGATAATCTTTTCCTCTCCCTCTTATATATTTGATATTAACCTCTTCCTCATAATTAAACCCTAAACGGTGTTCATTTAAAAAAAAAAAAATCATAAAAGAATAATAAATAAGTATAAAATTATTTAACTATTAGTATAGGATTAGCCAATAGAAATATTAATTATTTTTATCGCTAACCACTATTTTATATTTTGTATATAATATATTATATCTATGTATTATATTGTATATATATGTATTTAAGTGTATATATAAGTATATGTATGTACTACTATAGGAAATATTTATATATATATATATAAGAATGATGTGTGTATGTATGTAAAGTAAACAAACATTAAAAAGAGAGGGGGGGGGGGGGCGCGCGAAGACATGGGTGATTGATGGAGTAAATGAGGTGTGTCAGTGCTTTCAATCATATTTATAGGTACAAATTACAGCAGGTAAGTGGGTTTGAATGAACTACGCTGCATCCATGTAAATGTCATGTAGTGTCTATGTTGACACTACGTGTATGAACACTCCCCCTTCGATGTTTTTATATACATAATGTGTTTCGTTAAAATCTTATAAGGAAAAAAACCCCGTGGGACAAAAAAATCCTAGTGAAGAAAAAAAAAGTACAATATTCTTTTATTAATTTGCTCCCCCTATTTGAGCATTATTTGAGACCTCTTAACCGACGCATCACAATTTTCTTTACCAATTTTTTAGTTAATATATCCGCCAAATTATTATCTGATCGAATTTGTTGTACATTAATTTCACTATTCTGTTGAATATCATGAGTGAAAAAGAATTTTGATGAAATATGTTTTGTTCTATCTCTTTTAATGTAATCCTTTTTCAATTGAGTTATACAGGCTGTATTATCTTCATACAATGTAGTCGGGGGGATTTTATCGTCAGGTATTAACCCGAAATTTTTTAGAATATGTTGAGTCATTGACCTCAACCAAACACATTCTCGACTAGCTTCATGTATTGCAAATATTTCAGCATGATTTGAAGAAGTGACAGTTAAAGTTTGTTTCATCGATCTCCAGGAGATCACTATTTTACCACAAGTGAATATATAGCTAGTTTGTAACTTGGCTTTATGAGGATCAGATAAATATCCTGCATCGGCAAAATCAATTAATTCATGTCGAGAATCTTTCAAGTAAAATAACCCGAGATCAATTGTTCCTTGGAGATAACAAAAAATGTGCTTAATCTCATTCCAATATCGTCGAGTAGGCGATGAACTGAATCTTGCCAATAAATTTACAGAAAATGATATGTCAGGTCGAGTGCTGTTAGCAAGATACATCAATGCGCTTATAAAACTTATACATGACACTTGATATTTTTGCATCAAAAAATACTAGAAAAAATTATTTTTATTATTTATATTTTATAATTGTTGATGTATTTTTTAACAATAAAAAAGTAAAATCCGAAAATAGAGAAATATCTTCGAATTTGATAGAATTAATGCCTGAGATTATGAATCTCTAAACACCGTAGAATATGTAAATAACAATAGGAACGTATAAAATAAAGACTGGAAAATAAAATGGTGATCCCCGAATATGACTTTGCTTAGTTGAAGTTGATTGAAGATCCTCTTTTTCGAACAGTACCGGATCCTTAAATAACCCCTTGAAGAAACGGTTCGAACCGTTATCTGGTCGGTTACCATAACCGCTGTTATCCACTCCAAAAGCTCTCCTCTATTGACACGTGTGTCAATCGTCATAGAGAGGAGTGTAATCCCAAATTGTTAATCATGTGTACATATGGAGGGAAGCTTCATGTGGTTGCTCTAGAAGAGAATACATTGCTTGCAGATCTTTATGGTCATTTATCGAAACGATGGAACACAGTTACCATTGAAGCTGTAAAACTTCAATATATAGCACCAATTCAAGAACTACGTGACATTGTTGTGTAACAATGATGTGTCAAATATGTGGAGAATGCATATTTTGTTAAAAGTTATGTTTGTGGACATGGTTGTACATTCGAGAAGTGAGCACCAGAACTTGCCGCCTCAATGCAGCATTGGACGCAGTTACGTAACTACTATTGTTGTATTTGGTTTGAAGGAATTTTATCATAGATTGTAATCAAAGATGTACCACTCCAAGAATATGAATTATAAGCATTCATGTTACATGCCCGATATACCGACAAAGTAAGTATTACCTATACCGACTTTAAGGTGAAATGATGCATGTATTCATTATTTTCGATATATATGATTGGTAATATATTACCTCCATATTTATTGATTGTGCTGACAACATTCTTGCGTGGCCATGACATACGACAGTGTCTTTTTGTTTTTTGTTTTGGTTTTTTGAAGTTGATTGTAAGTAGTCATTCGCTGCGCATTTTTGTTAATGGTTGCGCGGGACTGTACAAACCCATGGAGGTATTGTAAAAATATTTAGTGGGGAAGTAACGTCGAAGGTATTGTGTAGACGGTTACTTCCGCACTATACGCCATTGACACTATCCATCGGTCTGAAATAGGTAGGTGGAATGTTACAAATAACATAAATATCTGTAGCTTGAGATATTACACTATAATTTGTAACTAGCCATGGTTAATAGATCTAGTTGCACCTTAAATACCCTGGATGCCATGGTAATTAACTGTGCACGGTCTATACGTACCCGGTAAAGAAAGATGGGTACCTATCCTTTTAGCTAGGAAAAACTCTGATTCATAATAATTTTTGTGTTTTGTAGGGGTGAAGCTGAGGGTATATTATTCGATGAAGATGAAATGACCGGTGTTATGGTTGCTGATGAAAGCATGGACCGTATTTCAATGCAAAGATGCATTATTAGGGAAGGTCAAACGTTCAAGGACGCGCTTGAGTTTAGAAGGATGCTGAAGAATTACTGCATTGCGACACAAAAAGCATTTAAGAACCATAAGAATGACTCAAAGAAAATTATAGCCGCATGCATCAATAGTAGTTGTGGCTAACGGGTTTATGCCTCATACCATGTTGCAGAGTGCACATTTGGTATTTGTACTTGCAACTTGCAACATACTTGCGAGTTGAGCTTCTTGCAGTCTCGGGATCATCCACATGCAGATGCAAATTGGATATCGGGTATTTATAGAGATAAGCTACCTACCATGCCATCATATAAGGCATCCGACATCCAGATGCATATTCAAACCGATTATGGGATTGATGTCAAATATCATAGAGCGTGGCGAGGCAAGGAAAATGCGATGAGGTCTATCAATGGAGGGGTAAGGGACAGTTACGGGAATCTCTCCTGGTATTGTCATGCGTTGCGTGAGTGTAATCCCGGCAGTATGGTGGATTGTGAAGTGGAAGCAGAAACACGACGTTTCCAACGCCTATTTGTATACTTCAATGCTTGCAAAATTGGTTTTCTTAGAGGTTTCAGAGCCTTAATTTTTCTGGATGGGACACATTTGAAGAACAACTACAAAGGATGTCTACTCTGCGCAGTAGCAACGGATGGCAACGATGGGATGTTCACTTTAGCTTTTTCTGGTACGTATATTTACTAATTTGTTGGTGAATATGCCCAATTTGAGATTATTTGTGCAATGGTTGGTAATTATTTACATTAATGAGGATCTCTTGTATGAGACGATATGTATATGAAGAAAGCTTTGTGGGGCTGTTGCGATTTCGCAATAGTATGCGTGGGCATTTTCACATAACTTTTTTTTTGTGGAGTATACCTATATTTATTAATCTTATACTCATATTGACTGATATTATATGCTTTATATGTTTGAAGATACTCTGGTTTGGTTGATATGTACTACGATTACTCATTACTGAACCCTGCTAAATTTTTCATGTGCTTGTGATTTGGATGTTCATAAAATCTTGTTGCTATGCAGCGGTATCAGCCGAAAATGACGAAAATTGGGAATGGTTTTGTTGGAGCCTAAGGTCTGCTCTTCATGTTGATGGTCGGTATAATTGGAAAGAATATACTTTTTTTTCGGATAGACACTCGGGACTTCTAAAATCTATCCCTGTTGTATTTCCCGGAGCCCATCACGCATATTGTCTCCGGCACTTAGTAGACAACTTCCGCACACAGTTATGTGTAGAATATATTTTAAAAAGCTTTATATAATGTGAACACGGTAATTATATTCTGTTTAGGTAATGCGGAGATATCCGATGCACCACAAGAAACGATGGACATCTGTTTTCAACAAAGCCGCTTATGCACCCTTACGGAAAGATTTTGAGCATCATATAACGTCTGTGGTGGAGGCTATGACACTTGCCCAAAACTTTATTGCACAATCGCAGCCCCAGTGTTGGGCGAATTCTTTATTCCAAGGGACTCGTTGGGGGATAATAAATAACAATATAGCTGAGTCATGGAATAGTTGGGTGCGTTCAGCAAGGTCATTGCCTTTTGTTGGGATGCTTGATTCCATCCGACAACAGGTAATGTCTATGATGAATGAGCGTCGGGAGAAATCCGAGAAGATAGGAAGTAAGTTATGCCCGAAACAGGAAAATAAATTGGCGTTGTCGTACATGGCCTCAAGGAGGCTACAGTGTAACCAATCATCAGTATCGATGTTTGAGGTGCTTGATCGTAATGATAGGTATGCGGTCGATCTGGAAAATCGAAAATGCACGTGTCGGGAATGGCAAATATTTTGGCTACCGTGCAAGCATGCATGTGCATGTATTGAAAAGTGTCATATGTCTATATATGACTTTTGCGATGAATATTACAGCGTTGAACGCTACAAGAAAACTTATGAAGAACCCATTAACCCGGTGCCGACTCATGATATGAATGTGGTGCAGAATAACCCGCAGACAGAGATAATTCCTCCGACAACATCGGTCCAACCAGGCCGGCCAAAGAAAAGACGGTTTGAATCACAACAGGTGAAACAATCTAAAAAATGTGGTCGTTGCGGTCACCTAGGACATAATCGACGAAGTTGCAAGGAGGCTTTACCTTAGGTATTTCTAGTTATGGTTGGAATCTCTTTTTGTTTTTGAAAGATTGTAAATTAAACGATGATCTACGTACGTGGCCACTGTTGGTGGATTTTGAAATTAGATGGTATTCCCCTTATATTCCTTGTTGTACACAGCTAATGTATCGGGGTATGTATCATTTTAAATTAATTCAGACCAATCCGTTCCAGAAGTACGTGAACTCATCCGCCGCATTCTACATCAAAAAATTTACTAAAATGATCATACTAACTTTACTTTATTTAATAAATGGCCCATTAATAAATAACGGTACCTCCGACACGTGACTTATAGCCTGGACAAACTTCTCTTCAGTTCGACATCTGAAAAAATCCTCCACATCACTCATCTTCAGTGATAGTAGTTCTGAAGTTGCCAAAGCTCTAGAGATTGGTCCTTTGCTATCAAGCCATCTGAAGCAACGGGGCACTGTCGGTAGTCTCCTTGCTTTGTTGAGTCTTGGAATGCGCTCGTAAATCCAGGCATGCGATGAAAAAGACCAATAATTTCAATTATCACAGACTATCTCAAAATTTTCTCACCTAAATACATAGATTAAATACGTACCAACAAACCCATCGTGCATCCAGCCAAATAAGACTTCCCAGATTTGAAGTCCCTCATAGACTTCAATAGGTACCGATAACATGCGGTCCCCCAAGCGTAGTCACCTAATGACTTCAAGTCATCGACATAGCCCAGTAAAAACATTGGAACCCGATAGTTTATGGTTGTAAACAAAATGTTGGCAAAGACAAACAAAATATACAATTTGACAAAGTCATCGATGGCCACAACGTCGTTTTGAGCTGCCACAGTTTCTTCCAGCTTCGCAAGAATTTCAATCCTTGTTACAGACCTCATTTTCCCCCCGAACAATCTCGAAAAGCTTTCACATGATGCAACGACATTCTCAGACACATACACGCCTTTTGAGTGTAAACCAAGAACTACAAAAAATTCTTCTGCATAAAATTTTATTTCTATTTCATCGTTAATTTTAAATGATTGGGACTCGATGTCAAACATATTCACAATCGCCCACAATTGATGCCAAGGTACCTTCATTTTCGGACAATCTAAAAAATACCCAAAAGGCGTGAGTTGCAGAGCTTTCAGCTGTTTGTCGTTCATTCGAACTTTAATTTTAGCCATGTTTGTGTAGAAGAAAGATATAGAGAATTTGGAGGTAAGCCCTTTGTATTCTTTTTCGGGTCTGCCATCATTTCAAGATAAAGACATATTTTCATGAGTATATCCAACACAAATGCAAGTTTATGGCATAACTACAAAGGTAAGTAGTCTTCTAATTGAGGTATATAAATTAACAATAAAGGCACACCAAAGACAATAAGAGACACTCGCAAACAATATAAAGAATAAATACAATTTTCATTAATTGACAAAATAGATACATCTATAACTAACCGCATAACAGAGACATCATCCAACAATTATTACTTAAAAAATCACCCGACAAGAAATAAATTGCCAACGGTATTAAAAAAAAAAAAAAAAGAGGAGCACCGCCATCCTTACATTTCAATCATTTTAATATAAATATAAACTTCTAAAAATGCAAATGAAGCTACTTCTATTGACAACAAAGTCATTTATAATTTCAAACACATAAAAAATAACCCATATTCGACCCAATAGTGCGATAGAATGTCAAAGTAAAATGACCCGCAATCGAGGCTTCTACAAATCCAACCGACGCACAAATAAAATAAATCTAAGCACATCATGAACTCAAAATCTCGATCCTACGAAATATATAAACTTTAACTTAATTTTTTGTACTCCGCTTCGGGGAGATCTTTTTCGACATAATCAGGCGGGAGTGGAGCTCTGGGCAGTGAATGGAGACTTCCGATGGCAGAAGAAGTTCCCGTGGGGAGGATCAGCGACGATTTCTTCGGAGGGGACTTCAACAGCGAGAGAATACGTATGACGGCAAGAGTTTGGAAGAAATGTGAAAGCAACGATTCGGATGGTAGTATATATTAGGGTTTTATTTTTTTTCTTTTGAATTTAGTATTCTATAACTAATATGAGTACATAAATAAAATATATAGGTACATAACTCTGACTTATTCTTCGTATAGCGGGATAATTTAAGAGTACGTAATTGAATAATGTAATTTTATATAAAAATAACAGAAGTACATACAATATTTCTTATATTATATAGAAATCTTAAGGGTATAATGGGCACTAGGGAGTTAAGTGCAATTGAAAATAAAAAGCATAGAGTGCAGTGTAAGTGCAAAATGAGAAGAGACTGAAACTAAATGTTTTTAACGTCAGAGGTATTTAAATCCAATTGCCCCTAATTTAAAATTGCACATATACTGGACCAAATATTTATTAAAATTTATGTACTACCTCCGTCCACTACCAATCTATCCATTTGTATTTTGCGTCATTGTCTTTAACATTAAAAATAACTTTATATTTGTATAATTTTTTGTACAAATGTCATTACATTACTATTATAAGACACCAATAGAAATATTTTTGTCGTTTTTCCTTGAGTTGCACTACATTTTGATATAATAATTAATATTCAAATATTAATTGTAATACCCCGATTTTGGAGTGTATAAAATAATATTATTATAGCAAATAAATATTTTTATAATATTTTGGAATCAAGAAATTAATATTTTGGAATAAATTTTATTCCTATTTTGTATATTGATTGTGATTTAAAAGGCTGTTAAATGGATAAATATCGATAAAAATAAATATAAAATATAATATATATAATAATATTATAATAATAATAATAATGATAAGGATGGATGATGACGAAGATATAATAATAATAATAATAATCATAATAACGTTAATATTAATAATATAATATAATATAATATATATAATAATATAATTTTATATAACAAACCAAACTTACCTGCGAAGGACGACCAAAGCAGAAGAACGCAATGGAGAAAGAAGAGAAAGAAGAAAAGAAAGAAAGAAAACGATTTAGCCGTTCGATTTCAATTCCGACTTCGGTATTGTATTATTTGTTATACGTAGAATTTAATTATGAATTTTAATATGAATTTCGATATTGAGAATATTAAATTAGAAATTCTTCAAAAATTTATAACTAACTATTTGGCTATTTAATCGACGAATTTCTTTAGCTAATAGCTTATTCGTAGTCCTAGTATTATATTCTGAGAATTTCGTATCGATCCAAGTCGAATTGAAAACGGCAGTGTACTGGACCTGCCTGTTTATTCATATCTTTAAGTAATTTTATTTAATAATCGGACAATATAAATATTATGAGGTATAAGAGTTTTATAGCTAGACTACCGTAGTCTACTAAATATAAAAGTTTGAAACCCAACGAGCTAACTATAGAAATTAGCTTTTGAATAAGCAGGTAGCTCCTATGTATAAGTATATAGCTCAGCTGATTTGAGTAAATAATGGGGCAGGTGTATGTTGGAAGAGATTTGGGTGAAATCGGGAGCTAGGGAGTGTCGATAAGAGGTAAGCAGTAGGGAATTAAATCTAATTTTAAGAAATTAGATATGCATGTTGCATACGATTTTGATTAGTATGTTAACGTGATATTATGTGAATCATTTTGTTGCATGTATATATTTATATATATGTGTGCGTATGCATGTGGGAGACTTCACGGTTTATGATATTTGATCGCGTTGGTGAATTTATGAAAAGGAGGATAGGTGAGTTGTCTCACCAGCCCTTTTCGGTAAATTCACTTATTTGGCATGTTGCACACATATTGCACGGTTTATCGGATATGTTTTATGGATCTATCGTTTAGTCGCTGTGTGCGGTAGTGCTAGGCGAGGGCATCATCTGGGGTTAGGATATTCGACCCCGATGTACCGTAACACTTTGGCGATAGTGGACGATAGTAGTCGGACAACTGGGTGACTTAGTCGCACGGTCATTCAGGGATTAGACCCATTGTAGTTGAGACGTATTTGGTCTAATCATTCGTGTTCGGTGTTGTTCCACTCATTGGACTGATCACTAGTGAGGTCTACCGGTAGTTTAGGATCATATGCCAAACTCCAAACGTGATCCCGTTAGGGCACACGAGGAGGAGTAGAGTTTCCGGGTTTCCCTTGGGTGATTCCAGGTTGCACGGATTCTACTACATTACACGGGATAGGGCTAGTCAGTGGGGGTCCTATCTTCGCTATCACAGACTATGGGGCGTCTTGTGGTTAATGGCGACAACGTTCGGCTATCCATGTATTGATTGTGGGAGTGGTATGGTGGGTATATGGAAGTGACCGGATGACCGTTATATTATTATGGGTTTATCAAGTCCTTCCTTGAGCCAAGGATTTTCCGGCTATTTATTGATGATGGTCTAGTGAGCTTGTTATTACGGGGCCGAGGGTATTCCGGCTGCTCACTTAGACAGATGTAGTGAGCCTATGATTATGGAGCCGAGGTTATTCCGGCTGCTCACTTTGGCGGATATATATATATATATGTGAGTGTTCATTGTTGTCGAGTTTGATATATGTATTGCATCATTTCACTATTGGCATGACATGACACGTATTTTATGATTAACGGGAATTAGACTTTATTTTAAAAAGGTGTGAAATGACATATTTCACGTTAGTTCTTAAAATGGATTTAATTCTGGACTTCTTTTAAGAAAATATTTGTTTCAGGTATGCATGGCATATCCGAGACAGGAGACGTCTCGAGATATAGAAAGATGGGCTGAGTGAGTGAACTTACGTATATTGTATTATATGTAAATTTTTAACTGGAAAAACCTCTTGTTAAAGGGTGTGTTTTGTAAATATTTATAAATCAGATTTTGGTATATATAATAATGCGCTTTTATGGTTAATTTAGTCTTAACACTGTATTGTGGGGCCCGAAGTAGGAGGTGACGACCTCTTGATGCAGTGTGGCGGTAGAATTTCCAGTATGAGCCAACTGGGGGTGTTACATTAATATACAAAAGTAAACGGATAGATTGGCGGTGGACAGATGTAGTATTTTATTAAAAAATATTATAATAAAATAATGAATAAGTTAAACTCAAAAAATATTTTTAATATAATTATAGTTTTAGAAATTGTTTTTTTATATATATAGTTGATATATTATTATTATTATTACTACTCCGAACATGACCCAGATCTAGTACTCAAATAATTCGACTCAACTTCAAATAAATAGGTCGGGCCCGGTCGGGTATCGAGTTTACGCGAACCTATTATCATCCTATAAAATTATTGATATATTTTCAATTTTATATTAATAATGAATTAGAAGTTTAATTTATCAAAATAAATAAAATTCATTAGGAGACAATTATGTTATTTAGAATATAAAAATCCAAATCCTTCGACTCATATGAAAAACAAACCAGATGTGAGAAATATAAATCTCACATCATTTTACCAATCAAGATAGGATTTCAAATCCTAAATATAATAAATCTCACATATAAATCCTATTACTCTGAAATCTCAATCCCACAAAAAAGTCCATTAACCAAACACAACCTCTTATATTTTAAATATTTTTTTTATCTATTTATCTATATAAAAAATTTCTAACTCATACCATTTTTTTCTCATTATTTATTTTTTAATAAAAATAAATTTATACTATTAAATTAAATATTCACAATTAATATAACATAATAATATAATAATAATAATTATTATTTATATCTTATTATTATTATTATTATTATACTCGGTTTCAATTTTTTTTCCTTTTTTAGTATTTTTTAATATTTTTAAAATTGATTTCATATTTTAAATTCAAAATATTCATTTAAAAACACCATTTATGATAATTATAATACTAATTAATGATATTAAAAATGAAATACTATTATTTCTAAGATTTTGAAAATTTTTAATAAATTTTAAAACTAATTTAATATTTTCTTAATTCTAATTAAAATATATAATTAATGTTAATTATATTTATAATTAATAATTTTTAAATTTTTAAAATTTTATTAATTTTATAAATATTTTTTAAAAAAATTTATTTTAAACATACAAATTAATTATAATTATATTCGTAATTAACACATCATTTTTTTCTCTTTTTGTTTATTTTTTAATAAATATTTTTATTCTAACTATTTATAGTTAATGCATTATAAATTAATTATTATCAATTAATATATTAGTCAATATTATTATTATTATTATCAATATACTTCTATATTTAATATATAATATATTACAATTAAATAATATAATAAATATAATTAATTTATTATGAATAAAATTAATTGTGACGTTTATGATTGGAAGTTACCAAATATTAAAAACGTCGATTACGATCAATTAACGTTGCCATTAATGATGAATTTGATGACAACCCTCCTTTGAATGTCTATAAAAGATCATCTCTTCACCCTCATTTCAATCCCACATCAACCTTCCATCCTCTCTATTTTTCTCATCTTTCCGACAATATCTTTTGAGCGATTTTTCGGTTAATATTTTAGTAATGTTTCTTTTCCAAAGCCACTCAATAGAGTTGTTTTTTTCCCCATATTTTAATAATCGAAGTTCCAAAATATTGGGGCGCCACCTAATCTGAAGATGATTTGTCGTATTAACATATAATTTAGTTATACTATTTTATTTTTATTTTCTACTATTTATAAATAATTTCATATAATTTTGTGTTATTTATTTTTAGCTAATCATATTGTTGAGTAAATAATAATAATAATAATAATAATAATAATAATAATGTATAGGGTTTATAAAAATTGGATTGATATATAGTGCAATGAGCGAAGAAGCATAAGACGGCCGATACGGAGGTCGGTCAAAAGGAAGTTGAGGGAAGAAAGATAAAACGGCCGATACGGAGGTCGGTCAAAAGGAGGTCGAGCGAAGAAGGATGAGACGGCTGATACGGAGGTCGGTCAAAAGGAAGTCGGGGTAAGAAAGATGAGACGGCCGATACGGAGGTCGGTCAAAACGAGGTCGGGCAAAGAAGGATGAGACGGTTGATAAGCAAGTCGGACAAGATGAAGTTGGGCAAAGGAGGATGAGACGGATGATACGGAGGTCGGACAAAATGAAGTTGGGTGAAGAAGGATGAGACGGCCGATAAGGAGATCAGACAAGACAAGGTCAGGCGAAGAAAGGTCTGTTAATTGGTCGCTTAATTAAGCGACCTGTTAATCGCCTGATCGGTTGGCCGGTCATTTGGTCAAACGGTAGTTCAGTCGCTTGAGAGGGCGGTCAGTTGGTCGCTTGATTGAGCGACTGAAGAGCCGTCTGGACGAGTGGTTGTTCAGCCAATTGAAGGGACTGGATGGTGGTCCCTCGAGTGGGCAACTGATTAGTCGTTTGGTTTAGCGACCAGTTAATATCTGGATTGGTCGGTTGGTCAATCACTGGGTTATTCGGTAGGTTCAGTCGGTGGATGGTCCAGACAGTCGGTCGACCTGCAGTCTGTCTAAAGTTTGCTGGGTGGTTGAGTGGTCGTTCGGGACCAGCCGTCCATTTAAGGAGGTAAGGTGCAAGGAGGAGGTCGGTCGAGCCAGTTGGGTTCTGTAACTGGTGGGAGCGGTTTGTGAAAAATTTAAAACACATGTCAATGGAGGAGGAATTAGTGGGCGGTTGACGGCAGTTGCTATAACCTACCAGACGGCATTTTGAAGCGTTTCCTTAGGGAATATTTAAAGATTCAGGTCCCTCTTGGAAAAGGGATCTTTAATCTTCAATCGACATCAAATTCAATGAATTTCTTTTGGGGATCACCTTTTTACTTTTACAATATGTAGTATTTATTTTTCCTATTTTACTTATGTATCATACGGTGCTTAGGGATTCTTAATCTCAGGCATTTATTTTATCAAATTTGAAGATAATTTCTATTTTCGAATTTTACTTTTTATTGTTGAAAAAATCAATCAACAATTTGGCGACCACAGTGGGAGTGAAAGAGCAAGATAGCTAATCCTACTTCCAATAACGACTTCATACGTATACGTTCTGGGCAGATCATCAGTAGAAACACAATGGCAGGTGCTCAATCTCAAAACAACACCACCAGTGTTGGAGTCTATGCAACGACATCAAATCCGACCACAGTTGTTCCAACTACAGGAGGGACATCTCAAGTGCAATCTGAATGGTTAACTTATGTTCAACAATTGAACAATCAACAAATGGCTACTATACAAACAATGTTGCACGATCAACAGAATGTGATGCAGAACATGCTGGATCAGGCGTTGTCCAAAGTCACCTTCTCACTTTCAGGCGACTTTTCCAGGATCAACATTTGCAGGGCCATCATATGTTGATAGTACAATTCCAAGCGCCACAACTCTCAACCGAACAGATAGGGGAAAGACTCCTCTAACTTTCCCGAATAATGTTCCTTTGGGACCAAGAGTTGATAACACTCAACCGAACATTCTAAGGGAAGAAAGGCAAGGAGGACATGTGCAAAATCCCATCCATATCCATGATCATCAACAACCTCGTTTGGAT